ATTTACTTTTCTGATAACATTTATTGACAGTAAACTGACAGGAAATAGATTAATGTATAATTGTTAAGTATTTAAACAATTAATCGATTTGTTGCTATAATAATAAAATGTTAAAACATTTTGAAATATGTTGGTGCTTCTCAAATCTCTTGTTCTGTCCACAAAACAAAGAGATACTCGGTTTATGGCCAACAAAGAGGACCGAAATATTCTTATTTAGGAAGCTGAAATCATAGAATTAGGACTTTTTTGCTTTAAGAAAGCTATAAGTGCCAATTAATTGAATTATTGATTACTGTTCAATTTATTGATGATTTGTTTCAGATCAGATTTACTGCCAGCCCCCCCAATAAAACTGAATTCAATTTCACTATAGACTTTACATATATACCAGTTCAGACATGAAGCTTGGGTCAGACAGTTTTTCCTCCATTACCTCGACCTCCCCAACTGTCTTTAGGGGGAAACCATCTGGGATGACAGAAAGGGTGTCACTACTGTGCCATGGTTTGTAGCATCCTTCCATGAACTATTAGGGTTTCTTTGACTTCCTCAAGGACTTTCAGGATGTGAAAAAGGACATTGTCCCTTATTTGCATTTGCGGGGATTCGTGTGTTGACATGGCTGACCAAAGGAAGAGTACAAGCAAAAAAGTGTAATTGTAGACCAGTTAGATAGAGGCAAAGGAGATGTCAGCACAGACACCTCAATCAGACAATTAAACAGGCCGATTGAAAAGTACACATTCTAATCAGTTTCTCTCGCTCGCATCACTGTTTGTGAGGATGGATGGAGGCAGTAGAGGTGTCGGGGCAGACCTGAAGGGGCCTGGAGGCAGAGGAGGTGTCAGGGTGGAATTCTGGGTGGCAGGAAGCAGAGCAGGTGTAAGCCTGAGGGGGGATGGAGGTAATGGAGGTGTCAGTACATACCTGTGGGTGAATGGAGGTAGTGGAGGTGTAGGCGTGTTGGTGGATGGAGACAAAGGAGGCGTCAGCACAGACCTAAGGGAGGATAGAGGCTAATGATTGAATGTTACAGTCATAAAAAACATCAGTGGAATTTCCGTCTTCATGATTACTTGATAAATTGTCATTGCAAGCATC